TTTCCCGCCGCCGCTCTCGGAAGCTCTTCATGGGGCCCAGTGGTGCCACCAGTGAGGGCAGCAGCAAGATCAGAAATATTCCCGAGGGTACCGCTCTTGTCATCCGCACCGCCATTGGGTGTTGTCGAGGACGCAATAGCCGCATCCGAAGGTCCCGGACCGACGTTGGGCAGGTCTAGCCTTGGTTCTGGCGATGAGCCCGTGGCTGGTGGATGGTGTTCCGGGGCCAGGTCCCTCCCCCGCGTGATGTGTATCCGCGAAGGCAAGATCATGGGGAGAATGTCCTGTATCAGCGGCAGCAAAGACGCCATTGCGGGGTGCTGCTGGGGGTTGAGCACCCCTCCTGATGCCTTATTCCGGGCAGCTTGATCTCTTGGCTCTCACTGCACCTATATGGGCAGGTGCCGCGTGACGGATTTTGGCTTTCTTCTTGATTATTTTATGGCCAGATACCAGGCAGTTATTTTTGGTTATCTCGCTCGCTTCTCAAAAGCTCCGATGTTCGGTTTCCAAGCTCCAATCCCCGGTTCCGTGACTTGCGACTCGCAGGGTAGCGTTGGTGTCGGAGAAGCCCAGGAGTCGCTAACTCCCAAGGAGGAAGGAGGCTCTGATGCTCTGGCACGGGCTGCAAGATAGGTAGGTACCTAGTTGAAGCGGCCGACGAGAGGAGCACTGGGCGAGGTGCGGGGATCCTGTCTGATCGGCAGACAAGTGCCTGCAAGAAGCAGGCTCTGTGAGACTCGCGGAGATTGCTCGACCCGTGCGAGGAGAGAAGGCCCAGCGGGATCTACCGTGGTTCGTTCTCGTTCTGTGCTGGGCGTGCGATTCGGGCACGTCGGGCGGCAGTGGCTTTCCAGGTTTGCGGGAGGCGACAAGGGTGTCGTGTCGGTCTGTGGGTGGACCGCTGCGGTTGAGGCCTGCAGATTTTTGGAGTGATACTCTGGCACTCTCCCCTGGCACCTGCTCCTGAACCGTGAAACCGATTGGTCGCCCGTTCAACTCGCTAACATGGGAGCCAGAGCAGCATGGCAAACTGCCCAGCCCAGGTGGGTATCAATTTGTTGTACCTGTCGGCGCCCTTGAGCCAGCGAAAGACGTTCCAGATTCTTGTCCAGCGATTATCGGCGTCGTTTGCTCATGCCCGTCCGAACCCCAACCAGGCAGCCCTCCTGCCAGAGGTTAAGATGTTGCACCCCAAAACCAACCAAAGACGGAAGCACGGATGTGGTGGAGGCTTTCCCGCTTTGCCCGAATTGCACTTGCCAAAAAGAGCACGAGGGAGATGGGGAAGCTGGGGAAGGCGCATCCAGCGAGGCGTCAACAGCTTGGAAAGTTCCCAGAGCCTGGTGGGGTGAACGATCCGAGCGGGTCACAGTGCTTGCAAATCCGGCAGCTGCAGTTCATTACTGACTGCCGAGCGCTGACCAAGCTGGGCGGCAGCAAATGGCTGGAAAAGGAAGCTGCTTTCTGGTCGTCATGATTCGCGAGCAATGAGCCGTCAACCTCAGATCCATGGATGGACCTTCCTAGAGAAGGACACGTATGAAACGCTGCGGGTAGGCGTGCTCCTGTCCGTTTGTTTGTCTAATTGTTTTTCTCGCGCTTCACTTGGCTGGATTGAGGAGGCGGATTGTCTGGCAGTGGCTGGGAGGGCGCACACTTGCGTAACAGCGCGACTGCGAAGCAAATGTAGGCAGAGTAAAATGTAGGCATCGTTCGGTTGGGCCACTCTTGCGGCAACCTGCCACAGACAGTGGAGAGCGCTCACTTGGTCGTACATATACCTCTCGGGAGGAGACGTGGAAGAGGAACGATGCACATGGATAGGTACACCCTCGGCCAAGCGGTCCTGGATGCCTGACAAAGAGGCAGGCAAACGCCTTGAAGCAATATGGAGCAGTTATTAACGGGTAAATCAATATACAAGAGACAAGGCACAAGCTCTCTGGCCCAGTCCAGTCCCGTCCCGTCTGCTCCAACGGCTGCAGGCCGTGGCCCGCGGGACCTAGAGATTGATGGTGCCCTCGCAATATACCCCCGCCCTCAGGCCGTGGATGGAGCACCACAGGCCACATGCACCCACACCCACCTTTCTTTTTTATTTCCCGACAACCTCCTTGCGGTGCAGGGATACCACATCCCGCATCCGGAGCTCCTACAACGAACGACCTGCACGCCTGGCGCTCTCCATGATACGCCATGCAGCCGCAAATCTAGGTCATTTGTACGTGGGCATGTCATAGTCCCATCCCACCTCGGCGTCTTGAGGTTTCCGCCTTCCCGCCAGCAGTCAACATTCACCTCAGAAGGACCCACCCGCCTAAGTTTAGGTATTTAATCCACGCCACACTTATTGAATGACGACGACAGACTCGTCATTCCCTCAACAAGTTCGTGCGGGCTTCGCTGGCGAGCGAGTCGACGCCCAAGACACCAACTCTACTCGAACGTCCATCCGAACGAGCCATAGGTGTCCCGCCACTCCGCCCTGCCCTGCTCGATAGAGTTCACTGCCAGCTCCTGCCGTCATGGATAAAGGAAAACAGCCCGAGACTCTCGCTCATGTCTCCAGTGAGCTTCCCCAGACCTCCTCAGGCTCCGCGGTCACGGCAACATCGGACGGCTCGGCCGTAAAGTTTGGAGGCATGGACGCCGAAGATGAGAGCATTTTACCCATGCTCGACGCGGTCTCTAGCGACGGTCTACCAAGCTATCAGGTTCTCCAAGGATCCGACGACTACCACCCCCTACGATCTGGCTCGGGAACCGGTTAGTGCTCTACCTAGCTTTCGCCCCATCTCCAGGCCCCAGGTAGCGATGGTGATATCAAACGCGTGCTAATTACGGTTACCCATGGGCCAGACCTGCAAGCTACGGCAGCCACAACAGCCTCAACAGCATGCTTTCTCACGGAGCTGCCGGCCGAGCTCCTCGACAATATCCTATCCTACCTGTCGCCCATTGACCTCTCCATGGTCAGCCAAACTTGCCGCATCTTGTACATCCGCGCGATCTCCGACTTCCACTGGCAGGCCCTGGTCCAAGCGCACGTTCCTGGAGACCGAGTCACCACGCCGTACCCATGCCAGTCATTCAGGGACCTATGGGCGGCACACGATCCACGCTGGTTCCTCCCCAAGTACAAGATTTGGTTTTCGGGTCACGACTTGACGGGGAAGCTAATCCTGGTGCGCTACGACCAGAGGCGAGGCTGCATCGAGGGCTATCAGTTGTTAGCTGTCAGCAGTCAGACTTCGCACCAGCACTGGCAGGCCAAGCCCGAAGTCATTATTCATTTGTTTGAGCCCACGATAAATCTGCATCTCGACCGGCCCGTCCTGTATCTGCGGTGCGAGGGAGACCGCCCGGATGCGGGAGGGTCGACGGCGGCTTCAGACTCCGTGACAGGCGGTGTTCAGTGCCCTGGCAGGGATCGCCACCCACGCGGCCCACAAGTAGTACGCCGAAGCCTCCAAGGTCATGCCGGCCCGCAGCCGACGTGTGGAAGCCGCTTCGCAGAACATGTGCCCATGACACCTCCGGGCAGTGTTGACGGCGTATCCAGAAACTTCTTTCTTTCGAAACCGATGGCGGAGAAATCGGCAAGAAAAGTGTGCAGCCTTAAATTCCCGTATGCCAATATTTGGCCTCCACCATGCGTGCCAGCTCGACACCGTTTCGCCGCTGTCAATAACTGCCATATGACCTCGGGGCGTGGCCGCCCCAGCCACAGCTTTCTGGAAGCGATGCCCGTTCGCCGATGCGAAATCTCGGATCAGGGATTTCGAATCCGCACCTGGCTGGAATTGCGTCCTGCATTGACGGAAATGCTACGTCGTCGGCATGAACTGTTAGGGAACGACCCTGAAGTCACATCACCCTTACCCGGAATGGGATACGGCACGCATTTAGGCGAGGAGACCACTACCTATTCGACGCTGGATCCCGTGCTCTACACCCCGACGGCAGACTGTCCCTGGCGCGGCATCTGGGTTGGAGACTACAGCGGCCACGGGTGCGAGTTCCTGCTCATCCACCAGATACAAGACGAGGCAGACAGTGAGCGTCCAGAGGACGCCATTGTCAGGGAGCCGGCCGAGACGGAAGAAGAATTCGAGGCGCGCAGGCGTGACGCGAGGGTTTACCGCGGCCGCCTCGAGGCCATCAAGCTGACTGGGGATCCCAATGTGCCTCGGGGCGAGTACACCTTCCTGGTAGAGGACATGGGACCCAAGGGTCTCGTCGAAATTGTGCAGGAGGAGCCGTTCAAAGGGGTCAGGATGGTGAAGAGTCTGGGACACGTGGCGGGATCCGGCTTCTTGGATGGTAAGCTCCAAGTATACAAATTTCATTCGGTGATCTCCCCGCTCATTCTTCTTCAGCACCATCACAACTAACCCAATTATTCGTGCTTCCAGACAAGTTTATCGAGTCCCGACTCCTGCTCATATCCCACAACAGGCTGGCTCAGTACTGGCTCGGCTTCGGTCACATCAGCTTCTTCGAGAGGGTCGACATTGACCGATTTCTCAAGGCTGCTTGAATGATGCCTCCAGAATAGGAATCGGAGAATGGTATGCGATCGAAGGAGAGAAGGAACAGAATGGGAGTTTGACTTGCCTTGGGGACTGGAAGGTCCCAGATCACCACCCGACCAGAGCTAAAATAGCCTGGTGTCCAGCTACTATCAGTCTTTTTATGTAGCGATATGATGACCTCGGACGGAACGACAGCGCCGTCTTGTTGGTGACGGCTTTGATATTTCCCTTGTTACTTGCAGCGGATGGATGTATTCTCTACTCGCTTATAGTCCGTCATTGGCATTCACAGAAAAGAAACAGAAAAAAAAAGGCAGTTTCATGTTTGAACCGATTGTTCAACTAGCTAGCTTATGGAGCAATGACTAACAAGGAGAAGAGAATGGACCCATCAACGGCATCCCTGTTGCGAGGCTATACCAAAGCAACTCACCCTAAGAGGAAAAACAAACCAAAAAGTAAGGCCGCAACCGGGATAGAACCCGGGATCTCTCGCGTATCAGTGAGCATGGGGGTGTTGCCAACCCACGAGCTACAACTCAGGGTGAGCCCTAAGCGAGAATCATACCATTAGACCATCGCGGCGTGACGAGGCATGTTGTCTTGCGGTGGAGTTCCCGAGTCGTATGTGCGCCCGTTGATGGACAAAGGCTGGAGAACCCAGAACCGTGCGAGAGAGCGAGATCACCAACTTATGACCGGCACGCCAAATCCCAAAACGCGTTGCGTCCTTGTCCCTGACCTTGATTATACCCGATGTCGTGAACCACTCACTCGAGATAGCCGCGAACTTTCGGCCTATGGTGGGCCAAGGGCCCCTGAGTACTCGAAGTTGGTGATGACAGGTACTATTCGTCGTCGAAAGCGCCAGGAACAAACCTTCAGCTCCGCCACGCGTGTGTATCGGCCACCAAACATTGCATGGCAAAAGTACACTTTCGAGTAAGCGTCATGAAGCACCACTTTGGCTAGAGATTGTGCTGAATATGCCCCTGATAACCACACCGGGCTGCTTCCGTGGCTTGGTTCCACCGGCTGCCACCAGCCGGCTGAGCCAAAACCGTGGAAACATTAACTGCTTCTATGACAGGGCTCCCGCTGCGGAGAGTTTGGTTCAAGCCTCGAGCCTGAGGCGCCGAAGCGTTAAAATGGCTCTGCGTCCTGCCCTTTTTTCTTTCTCGGTTTTTTTTTTCAGGTCTCCCTACCTTCCTGGCAGCAGCACATCCTGTGCGAGGCGGCCTTTGCTGGGCAGGGACACATTGTCCGCATCCTGTCTCTGAATATAGCTGGTGGCCACCCAGCCAGCGATCATGGCTCCCGTACACGTAACACTACACGAGGCCGACGCCCCCAGCGACCCTCGTCTGCGCTCCCCTTTTCTCCCCATGCTCGTCGATAACCTTTTTAGACGCTCTCGCGACAGCGCCGCCGCTGTGGCAAAGCGCGGAGACGTCGCCGGCGACGCGACGGCAGCCAAGTCCAACAAGACGACCGATCTCACGCTGGGGATCCTGGGCGCCGTGCTGACGGGTCTGTTCCTGCTCTGGTTCGTCGCCTACAACATCCGTCTGGCCACGCGCGGCGA